GCCATGGCACTCTACCCAGGGGGACAGCTTGAGGCTCCGTCTCAAAAAAAAAAAAAAAAAATTGAAAATTTCTCATAGCTCAATACCCAATTTTTATGACATTGGTTTCAAAAATTTCTAGGCCATGTCATTTCAGGTAAACATAATCAACACAGGATATTTTTCTGATATCATTATGTAAGAATATAAATTACTTTCTTTAAATGATACTTTGTGCCATTTAATTGGTGCCTGTTGACAATTCAAAGATCCCCAGTGGGTGGTTAGTACATTAACATGTCAGACTGTGATTACTCAATGAAAGGACTGGTACCTTTTGACCAAGCACTCAAGAAAAAGTCTCTCACCGTCACAGCTGTGCACAAGTAATAAGAGTTTTCAATTCAGTTCCCAGAATATAGAGCCCTGTCAATGGGTTTGGTGTTCATTTTAAAGAGCTGCACACTGTGTGATCCATTCCAGATGACTCAACACTGGGTTTGGCCCAACACCTGTGAATAGTTTCCTCTTAGAAAAAGTCTTAAGCATTCTTTAATAGGTAGTTGGTTGTTTAGGGAAATACTTGGCCTCATGAGACAAGAAGATTGCTTACAATGTATGGTATCTATTTCTAATTTATTTCCCTAAACTTATTTGGGAAGTAATAAGTAAATACATAGAAATAAAAATAGATAAATAAGCAATGATGTTTTTTAGTCTTCATGAACTAAGAGAATATGAGGAAATTCAGTAACGCTCTTGAATGAATTCATATTTTATCATCTCTTATCTGCTTACACTAGACAATGGTACTATACGTGGGAGACATTCTATTTAGCCATTCTACTGTTCATGCATGCATGTGCATGAATTTAAGGACTGCTTGCCATAATTTTATGCAGAAGTGAGGACTCAAGACTGTAGACTATTTAGCATTTAGGATTGCTGTATACAAATCTTAGAGATGTCTGAAGCATGTAAAATAATTTTCAAGTATTTAATAGTTGCAGACATATACTTTTATTACTGAAAGGTAATATTCCTCCCCAAATTTGAATAAAGGAAGTATCTTTAAAATATTCTAGAGCAGCATTTCCCAAGTGGAAATAATTCTAATTATGTTAAAACCTCTGGGGAAAAATATAGGTTACACGGTGAATTAATCTGAATGTTCCCTTTGAGTTTCACCATGTACGTTAATATCCTAGAGGTTTTGAGAAGTTAAGAAGCTTGTCAACTCACCTGTTTTTCTGTGTCATGGACCACAGGGACACACACACAACCCACCACCCTCTTTTTTAGGCATTACATAATAAAAGTACACAAGCATGGGGCGGGGGGAACGTACTATACCAGACATATACAGCTTCTTTCTTCCAAACAGTTCTGTCCTAGAAAAGTACTTGTGTGGTAATAATCAGTTTGAAAAGGATAGGCTTGTTATTTACAGAAGGCACATCCCCTAAATGCATGTTTTGATTAAATTCTATTTATGCCATAGAAATATTAAGTGGTACATTTTCTTTCATTTACTTAGCTCTGATTTCTCACCACATTCTAGTCTGTATTCTGTAGTATTCATTTTAAGTTAACAGGAATTACTCTGCAAGTAGTATTTTTTTATGCCTATTCAGTAGTCATTTTTGCCAATTAATGAAACAGCACAGAAGGTGTGGTGTTGAAAGATCTCCGTTTTTGAGCGGAACCTGTTTCATAAAACAGTCTTTCCCCACTGAAATCATAGTATGAAGGCAGCTGCAGTCAGCTGACGGCTTGCGGTTATGCTCTGATTTACCGGGGAAGGAGGAGGTTGTACTATTTTAAATGCATAACAGAGCATTCGTTTCGTCATCTGGAAGCAGAGCTGGAAGAAGCTCAGGGGAAATGAGAGGCATCAATGTTGCTCCCGTGGAAGGGAAGCTTTGGAGAACATTACCAGGCAGCAGTGCACACCGAAGAATATATCTCTTAGGAATGCATGCCACCAGATGTATTTTGCTTTCAAGAACGGTAGACAAATCAAATCAGAGCCAGATAAAAAGCCTGCGAAAAAGAGGCTCAGAAGGATACTGAAGTTATTCTCTATGCCTCACTGCCCTTTACCTCTCTTGGTACCTTCCAGAGAAATCAGTATAGATGTATTTTTAGCTTGCTGTTTGCAGCATCAACATGTCAACATGATCTTGTCTTTGTACCAGTAAGCAGCTTCTACTGTGTTTTCCTATTTTCTGCTAGCTACAATTTACAAAGGATGTCACAGCACTGGTAAGAAATGCACAGTAGCCATTTCCTTGCTTTTCAGTCATGTTTTATAGAGATGTGTAATAAGCCAATCTATTAAAACTGTAAGTTTGCTTAGAGAAATCCCTCCATAGTGTTAATTTTTACTAATTTGCAGAATGTGTTTGCGATAATATTTTCCATCTTTTAAAAAAAATTTTGTTTGTTTGTTTTTGTATCCTGTGTATAACTGATGTTAAAGCATAATGTTCATCTGCATCATTTTTGTGTTTTTAAGTGTCTTGCTCTCCCCCTTTCCCTATTACTTTGCTGTTGTGTTATGTTAGTGGCTGCACGGGAGCTTTGCAAGCTGTCAAATGCAAAGATATGATGGTAGTCTTGAGTTAAGCTTGTTTTGATTAGGAGAAAAATGTGTTACTTACACCTACCTGTCTTAAATGCTGAAGGTGGTCCTTGTTGCATCGATGAGCTCTGTTTTGGAGAGTCTCTGTAGTTGATTTCTGTTACTCTCATTTTTAAAACTATGGCTAGATAATTTTACAGATAGTTGATTAAAAAATTTGAGCTGCATGCTTGCCTGTTAGAGAAATGCCTCTTTATAATAAGCAAAAGAGACCAAATAAATTTATACAGTGTACTTTTGTGTTAGCTGAAAATGAAAATATAGATTATATACAGAAAGGTAAATTACCTTTTTCATACTTTTATGCCTTTAACATACGTGCTCAATTTCTTAAAACATATTCTTCTTTAATTTTAAATAGTGAAATACTTAGCATGGCTGTTGCAGGGCTTAATTTATCAAAATGGATTATTTTTTAAGGACTTTGTAATAGTTAATTGACAAGACACTTCAATTATATTTAATTTATGGTGGTAGTAGTAGTAAACATAAGATGTGGTTAATATTTTTTAATGTTTTTGCCTTTTCTCTAGCAAAAGATAAGAATCTTCTTTTGTTGGGATTTATTAGGCAGCCATTTAACCTGTCGACTGCTGAAAAATCAGAAAGCTTGAATGGGGAGAATTCTAGCAGCAACATGGCTACATCGGAGTGGGGATGGAGGGAATTTGACATGTTGCACAACTTTTGAGAAAACAGGCAATTGCCATGCATATTTGTCTCAGATTCTACAATTTATTTGACTTCTGAGAGAACTAGTTCTTGTCTAGTCTGTAGAATACCTCCATGTTGTGTTTGCATGCATGCTGTAGTGAGCGTCATTCAGGAACAAGGGAGGGTGCAGGAAAATACAACAGGGAACTGGAAAAAATGGAAAATATTGTTCTTCTCACGCATTTTAAGTGACACTTTTCTCTCGTTTCTACACAGGCCTATTCTCAAGATGCCTACCTGAAAGGCAACGAAGCCTACAGCGGCAATGCCCGCAACATACCTGAACCTCCACCCATCTGCTATCCCTGGCTGTCACCTGCCCCATCATCAGCCACGGCACAGCCAGTTGAAGTCTCTCCTCCAGACTCATCACTGAGCAAACAACAGACCAGTGCGCCAGTCCTGGTGCAACCTGGCAGGGCCTATAGAATGGAAATACAAGTGCCTCCATCACCCACAGACGTTGCAAAGTCAAGCACAGCGGTGTGCGTTTGCAACGAAAGTGTAAGGACTGTCATTGTGCCTTCTGAGAAGGTCGTAGATTTGTTACCTAATAGAAACACCCACGCAGGTCCTTCACATAGAACTGAAGAGGTGAGGTATGGCATGAATGAGCAGACCTCTCTAAAACCAGTGTCAAGAACCACGTCACCACCTTCATCGATGCCCACGGCCCATCTCCTTCATCAGGCTCCAGGCTCCAGATCCCTGGAACCTTCCAGAATTTTACTGAAATCTGGAAATTACAGTGGACATTCAGAAGGAATCTCAAGCAACAGATCTCCAGCTGTGGATTCCCCTTCCGTTTCTGTGAATCATTATTCCCCAAATTCCCATCAGCACATAGACTGGAAAAACTATAAAACGTACAAAGAGTATATTGATAATAGACGATTGCACATAGGTTGTCGGACAATTCAGGAAAGATTAGATAGTTTGAGAGCGGCATCTCAGAACACAACAGACTATAACCAGGTGGTGCCCAGCCGCACGACCCTGCAGGTACGACGTCGGAGCACCTCTCACGACCGAGGGCCCCAGGCCGTTCAGATCCGGCAACGCAGCGTGTCCCAGGAAAGACTGGAGGATTCCGTGCTGATGAAATACTGCCCCAGAAGCGCTTCTCAAGGAGCACTGACATCTCCATCTGTTAGTTTTAGTAATCATAGAACTCGTTCCTGGGATTACATTGAGGGACAGGGCGAAACTGTAGAAAATGTCAGTTCCGAGAATCAAATCCCCGATTCCAATGGCGAGCGGAAACAGACTTACAAGTGGAGTGGATTTACTGAGCAGGATGATAGGCGAGGTATTTATGAGAGACCCAGGCAGCAAGAGGTTCATAAATCTTTCCAAGGTTCAAATTTTACCGTGGCCCCGAGTGTTGTGAATTCCGACAGCAGGCGGATGGCAAGTCGAGGGGTAGGTTCTGTGCCACAGTTTAAAAAAATCCCCCCAGATCTGAAACCCCTGCCATCCAACAGAAATTTACAGACTCCTTGTGGGGGAATGTCAGTGCCTCGGGGGACGCCACAAGAGAGGTCGCCTCTTGTGAAAGTCCGAAGTAGCTCCCTGAAAGCGCCTTCCACACATGTCACCAAACCATCCTTCAGCCAGAACTCGTTTGTTTCTATCAAAGACCAAAGACCAGTGAATCACTTACATCAAAACAGTCTTCTGAGTCAGCAGTCCTGGTTAAGGACAGAAAGTGCCCCCAGTCAGCAAGTGGGCACCGGCAAAGCCTCTCCTTTATCTGGAGCTTCTGCTAAGCCTGCCCCTCAGATGAGTGAGAACTCTGGCACCTCCGATGTACAATTATCTGTCAGTCAAGGAAATCAAGATTTAAATTTACAAGAGGCTGAAATTCAGCAGTCAGATGCGTTAGATAATAAAGACACCGTCATCCTAAGAGAAAAACCTCCATCTGGCCGCCAGACCCCACAGCCTTTAAGGCATCAGTCTTACATCTTGGCAGTCAATGACCAGGAGCCGGGGTCAGATGCCACCTGCTGGCTGCCCAATGACGCTCGCCGGGAGGTCCATATAAAGAGAATGGAGGAAAGGAAGGCCTCAAGTACCAGCCCGCCTGGAGACTCCTTGGCTTCCATTCCATTTATAGGTGAGCCCATTTACGGTCTTTGCCTAATAGGTTGAATATTTGAGAAATCCTTTTAGAGAAGTATTATGTGTATGTCAGCAGGCACAGAATTCTTAACCCTGTGGTAAAATATCCCTTCTGAATCTCATAAGCTATGCTTCAACCAGAGACTTAAGCCTTTTACCCTCCTTAAATGTTATTTCTAGTCTCCATTATTCTTTTATTTGGTTAAAATTTATGTACCTACTATTCTTTTTGGGGGAGTGAAATAGATTCCCACCATCTGGGGGATTCAGCAAACCAAATTCTGTCTGGTTGTCGACTCGTGTGAATCAAAAACCAAGTGGCATGGACATGATCATTAGCAATCAAACTTCCATTTAAACAGTGCCTTTTTACTTTGTAAAGCTTATTTCTTTGTAAATTTAATTTGGGCCTGAGAGAGAACACCTCTTTGTTATCAAATTACTTTATCTTAGACTAAATCATGGAGTAGATTTGGAAAAAGTTACTTAAATGACAAGTGTGTGCCACCATGTGCATCATCTACCCTGCCAAGTCTTCTGTCTGCCAGTTTATGCCCTGGCTGTGTTCTGCAGGTAGCAACCAGTATGATGTTTTAAAACGTCAATCAGATCAGGTGGTGCCTGTGTCTCAAAGGAGTAGGGTGCCAGCCCCATATACCAGAGGTGGCGGGTTCAAATCCAGCCCCAGCCAAAAACTGCAAAAAATAATAATAAAAAAAAAAGAAAATGTCAATCAGATCATGATTAGAGCCACTCGCCTGATTGGAAGAACCCTCTGTAAGGAAACAGAATCTCCCCCAGAATAGAGTCCAGAATCCTAGTGTGAAGGCCTGTCCCACAGCACCATCCCATCTCCAACCCCCATGTCTATTTCAGACTTCCGTGTCCGCCCCATCTGCAGCCATGCTGGCCTCTTCACACTTCCAGAATGTGCCAAGCGTGACAGGGCTCTGGCACTGCTGGTTCCCAGCCCTAGAACACTTTGCAAGGATAATCACCTGGCTCTCTTCCTTACTACATTTGGGTCTCAGATATTACATAAACAGCCTTTCCCAAACAACCCACCTAGAATGGCTACCCTGCACACAGACTCAGAAGGCCCTGTAAGCTTTTTGTCCTCATGGCCCTTGTTCCACTCAACATAATTTGTATTCTTTTAGTACATGTTTCTCTGTAGAACTGAAACAAACTATATGAGAGCCAGGATTTTCGATCTTTGGTTGGTTCCGCTTCCCCTAATGCCTAGAACACTGACATAAAGAAGGCACTTAACAAGTATTTGTTGAAATAAGAGGTTCGCATTGTAATTACTACAAAGTTGTAAGACAGCTGGGTTATGATGTTTCCTTAGTATTTATTATCTTCATTTTATGGGTGAGCAATATAAGGTAAGGAGAGGTTAAATGACTCCCCTAAAATCACCCAGTACAGACAGGGACTCTAGGTTTGCTGATTCAGCCTCAGCCCAGTGAAGAATTCCAGAGGGCTCCATTTATCTGGAATGCGGTGTGAAGAGCGCCCCCTGGAGGTGGTGATGCCTGGGCCTTATTCTGCTCTTACCCTGGTGCCCCATAGGTTTATGAAAAGAGTTTTCCATCATTTTATAATATATTGTGCTTCTCTTTCACTAATAGCTCAGTTTTCTTTTTATTCTAGAGCAGCAGTTCTCAGCCTGTGGGGCTTGACCCACAGGACCTTATTAAAGGGCCGAGTAATTAGGAAGGTTGAGAACCACTGTTCTAGAGGAACCTTTTTTTAAAGCTGTTGAGCTGCTGTCAGACTATCAGGTGATGGCACCCAACTCAGTTTT